GGTGAAAACAGTGTGATTGAAAAATTGTCTTAACTTTGTTATGAAGCTGAATTTTACATTTGAACAATGGTTTAAAAATAGCATTTAATTGTACAATCATAATTTTATAGATAATGTTTTTCGCAATAAATTATTTACAGTTTTTAAGATGCTTATTAACATCAAATTATTGACATCTTTCTACGATGCATTATATTATATTTGCATCAATAATATTAAATTACTTGTCAATTTAATTTGTAACATTACTATTTCAACTTTAGTTTAGGACTGTGTTTCAAGACCAATAAATAATCGCACACTTTGTTTGGACTGGAAATTGTATAAATTTACAAGAAATATTAATAGGCATGAAGAACCACTTTTGATCGAAGATGATTTTTCATTTATATGTGCATAATCTTATATATTTTGTATATTACATCGAGATTTATTGACAAACAAAATGCTTTTCTAAACTTGTATTACTCATAATTTTTTAAAAGTTAAAAAAAAGTTAAAAACTTTACATAAATATTCGAGATAATTTTTTTTTTTTAGAAAGGATTATAGCTTTGAATATTTTATCTTATGTTGAGTTCATCAATTCTTCAAATTTTTCATCAAAATGTTACCTTCAACATATCATCCCTTTTTCCTCTATAATTTACAGCATTATTATTTTTTATAGCTGCGGATCTTGTAACCTTATAATTTAACTCCGGAAATAAGTAGATAAAATATAAGTATATAAAATAAGTAGAAATTACATACCTTGTACGTCAGGAAATTACATAGTTTTTTATAGCAAGCAAATTTTTAGATTTAAATCCTCATCATGAAAATTCATAAATTACGAAATTTATGATGTTCACAATAATATATTTGCCAGTTATGTAGTCTTTCATTATTAATATACTCAAGGCCTAAAAATATGTTGAAATTCCATGTCTATCTATATATATTATATATCTATATATCTATATATCTTATTTATTATTATACTATAAGTATTATTACGTATATAGCACATCTATGAAGCTTAAAGGCATATTTAACATAATAAAATTAATCAGAAGTTTTTAGTTCTTTTTAATTAAAAGAGTTATTTATTTATTAAAATCATATGTATGCATTGGTAATAATACATATTCGTGAACATATCCTAGGGATAATTAATATAACCATAATATTAATTACGAAAATCGTTCGTTAATTTTAATTTTATTAAAATAAAGCTGTAAACATTAAGCAAACATCGGTAATTCTTTTATTTCACTTTTGAAGATGAAAAAATAATAAGAAGCGATACATGCAAAAAATTAGTTACTCGGAATTTAATTGATTATAAGTTGAGTTTATAAGATCACTCAGTAAATTTTTCTTCTTTAGTTTTTTTTAATACTTCCTGCACTTCTTTTTCTTTTTTTCTTTTATCGTGGTCTTTCTGTTCCATTGAATTTCTACTTCCAAAGAACGCTACCAAAGATTCTTTGATAACTTCGCTCGCTTTCTACCTCCGTTGCATTTTGGAATTTATAAAGGAAATTGTATCTGCGGCAAAGATCGATAAAATAAATATTGTTTGAGCTATACCAACAGATTTAAACGCTCTGTAAAATATAAAGTGCAATTGTTTATCATTTATCTTTTTATTAGAAGCTATAATATAGAGAGATTCTATTGACCTGCGAAATAATCTAAACTTCTTTATCTCTCGATTCGAAGGTTACAGTAGTTGAACTTATTTTAGATGATTTATAATTTTCATAAAAATAAACTTATTTTTTTATGTTGCATTTTATATTCCTGTTTCTTCAAATATTTTTTATGAATTACGTAGCATGTTAAATTATAAATCATGTCAGTAAAATACCTAACCAGAAAATATTTATTTTTTGATTTAAAATAAAAAAAATGAATATAATGTATAGTTCTTTAAAAATATATGTAATAATTATTATGTAATATAAAACATATATAAGCTATATAGATTTTCTAAATTGATTGAGTCAGAGAGAAAATTTTTCATTGGGATTAAATAATTACGCTTAATTCGTTGAAAGGTTTAGAATAAACGCTATATATAAATAATAATTGACTGTATATATTAAAAAATAAAATCAGTCATTTTACAATGCTCGTCATTTTCGAACAATCGAAATATTCTTAAAATGCTCGTAATAATTTTATTATTATCAAAAAAAGTTATGCTGCTTAATAATGATCGTTGCAGCATAAAAGGCAGATGACACATAATACGTTTTTTCAGGAATGAGATTAGCGGCTATGGCTATTGACAACGATATGACAGTGATATCTGTCACAGGCTATTGTATAGAAATGCAATTAAGCGCATTTATTCGCTAGTTTGAAATGCGATTTATAATGTTTAACGCGGGATATCGTCAATTAACGTTCTATACAACATACAAATCCAGCAAGTTTACTATTTTCTATGATATTGCATGTTATGGAAAGTGCGTTATCAGGTGTTTACCACGCGACTCTTCCCAGTCGCGTTTGGTGATTTATTGTTCGACCGCGTACTGAATGTAAATTACACGTGGACACATCCAGAATGGAATATCGACATTTTGCGGACCTTTATTGTATTTTGGCAAGACACGTCTCGTGATTTTTGTGATTTATATATGCGAGAAGAAATTATGTGAGACATACTGACATACAGTATGTGCATAAAATGTATTTTCCAACGATATACAATATTTGCGCGCAAATAAGTTTTATATTATACATATCGTTTTTAAAGGTTGTTTTAATTTGTATCTGTGTTTTATAATTTTTCGAAAATGTAATAACATGTTTCCTCATTTAATTGCGATCGAGACAACATGCGATGTTTAGAAGATGTCTTTTAAGCTACGTTTAATGAGATTTTAAAGTGTAAAACTTAAGCTTTAAGCCTTAATCAATAAGAAATTGACGGATTATAGTTAATCATTCTCTTCATATTCGATTGATCAATTTTTTACAAGCTTAAAGCTTAAAGCTTTAAGTTTGACACCTTCAAATTTCATTGTAGAAGCCGCCAGAGGCCACTTTAAATATGCATGGAGAATAACTTTCTCACTCCGTAAGAAGATAAAATATAGCGTGATTTATATCGTAAATGTTGTTTTCTGAAGGTGTTTTAATTTGTTTTTGCATATTATAAGCAACTTTCAGAAACGTAATAATATTATATCTTTTTAGTGAACTGAGGATAACTTTTTTACTGCATAAGAATATGAAATACAGAGCGTGACAATTAAGAACTAAATTACCTGTCAGTCTTCAACGACAATTCCGTATTATCATTCTTGGGATTCCTTCATTTGTAAATTCATGACGACTTAATCCATGAACAAATTACCTAACAATTGTTTGAAATTAATTTCTTATGCTTAATCGCATTCTGAAATCTGTACTTACAATTAGATTATTCTTATTCGAAGACAATGTCGAGTATTTTTATTACTATACTATAAGAATTGTAATTAACATCGCTATTGAGAACTTACAGATTCTAAATAATATATTATAGATGCGATATTTATGATATATCGGAAATGTTTGATCCTCAATTACAGCTATAAAAATTACACCTAAATTCTAAAGTATCCTGTTTGAAATGCAAAATGCAAGTAAATTGATAGAAGAAAAAGTTCAGAGTTCTTTTTACCTTCAATTTAAAATCTCATACTACCAATCATACAAAAAGATTGTACTATTGTTCAAAAATTTTCACTTCGGATCGAAATAATCCATTGTATTCGAGCGCTATTTGGTATATAGTCAATTCTTTTATCGCCATTATGAAATACTTAACATTTCACAAAGTATAAATAAATATTACATATTTCGTTCCTTGCATTTTAAATTAATTTTGATGAATAAAATATTATCGCACATTAAATTTGCTTATTTAAAAAATAAAATCTGATTTAAATAAAAACAGCTGTTTAATTACTTTACAAGTTTAGTATAACAGCAGTTCAATTAGATTATTCGTCAATTCTGTTAAAAAACATTGTATTCTTTCATCGACTTTATAGCTGTTTCTGTATATCGGTTTTCCGGCTAGTTCGTGCTCTTCACAGGAGGACGGAAAGTAATTTGAAGCAAACAATACCTCGCTTGTATAGGCTGTCTAACAAATTGAATTTTGAATATTACGTCTATTTGCCGAATGCCTATCGTGATACGCTTTCACTGCAATACATGGTAATCATTTAGCGTTTGACGAGGATTGTGTAAGGGCTGAGACAAGAGAACAGAATGCTGATGCATTCTCGAAATCCGTTTGTATCCGATTCCACGAGAACAATAACGTGATTCAATCTTTGCAATGCAAAAATTTAGAGACAAAAAGATATTTATTTACTTTCAATTTATATTGCTAATTTATATTTATATTCGTTATTGTTAATAAATGTTTAAAAAAGATATATTAGCAGATATATTATATCTTACGTCTTATAATGTATGTTATTTAAATATTTGCATCATTCATCTAATATTTGTTAAAACGGATATAAATATGTATAAAGTACACATTTTACTATATCTTAATTTCCATGTTTATTATCTAAAAACAATGATATTTTTTTATAGAATAAAGAGACTTTTAATTTTATAAATCGTTAGTTTCAATTTGTTCATTCATTTAATCAAATCATTCTGTAATAATAATCTGTCTTAACTTAAGCTATAGAAAACTATATAAAAATACAGACAGTGAATTATATGGTGCATTTTCGCAAGACTATTTCTTTGGTTTAGACGATTTTGCTCCGAAATTGATCAATTAATAATCCAATGTCGCTGATTACAATCAGCTGCACATTTCCTTAGAAAAAATAATAATTTCCTCCAAAGAAATTTCAATTCGCTAATTGTGCAATTGACCAGCTTAGTAAATTTTTGCAATTTTAAAGCCATTTCGTAATATTGAAAGACTTTCATGATAATGACTCTATTATGAAACTAGTAAAACTAGACAAGTGATTCACTAAGAAAAACTGAGCGAAACGAAAATGTTACGATATTTAACCAATCTTTTAATGAGTGCAACGTAAATGAGATGTCGATGATTACTCAACCAAGCTAATGGATGTAAAAAAAGAAGCGAAGTGTCGCATGATGAAAAACGGCTGAGTTCGGTAGGTGACAGTGTCCAGCCTCGTAGGACTAATGATGATCGTAATGATGATCAACGTCTTGTTCACGGTCGTTTCGATGGCTGTTAAGCACTTTGGCGTGAAATCCGTCTCTGCCGGCGCGGTACTTCACCGTTCTAATATTACCGTCTGGTTCCTTTACGATGTACTCCCCGAACACATCCGAGCCTGCAAAACATCGACATACATTCAGACATGCGTTATCGCTCCATTTTTATGAAGACGAATTGAGTTTTAGATAAAGACGACAAAATATTAAACTAGATTTTCGCTCTTTTTAGAAATTTATATCCGAATCATTGATAATTTTTTTTTACACAATAATATAAGAAGGTTAAATATAATAATATAAGAAGGTTAAATAATTATAATAAAAAAGAAATAAACTACTAAAATGGATTATCTCGGTTAAATTTATATTATTAAAAAGTATATGAACTGATGGAAATTCTTTCATATGTTCAGAAAATGTTTTATGTGTATGAATTTTTTATTTAATTAAAAAATTATAAAAAGATTCATTAATCAAGATAATAATCTCATGTTTATACGTTTCGTTTGTTGAATTCATATATAGGTAAATTCGAAATTAATAAATGCGGAAACTAGAGATATATTGTATAAATAATTTCGCTTACGTGATTGATGATTCATAATAAATTTATTATGATTTTATTATTTCGTGGATGGATTTTATGTAGTACAAGCGATGTATGTAGTACAGCTTAAATGTAGAAACATGCCGCTCATCAAACATTGAATAAAGAAAATTATTTAAACGAGATTATTTTATTAAATGTAATAATTGATTAACTGCAATTTAATTTGACGTTTTTACGTATGCACGCATTAATCTACACAATTGTGGATTTCCGCTAATGCACCATCAAAACATAAATTTCTTATAACCTATTTCAACGATAGCTTTAATGCACGTTGTTAAATTTAGATCATATTCCCGCTTTAAAATATAACGTAAACGAGATTTGTAATTGGCCCTAGTTATTCTAATTAGTTTCGCGTTGGTGAATACCGCGTTTGCAGTTGCTCAGAGACTCTTCTATCAATAGCTGCTATCTAAGCTTTATATGGTTATAAACTTTTCAGCCGGTGCGCGTCTGCCTTTGAAGGCGGGAATACTGAAGCGTGGTTTTTTAGCAGTACACTTTTATCCTTCCTAACTTTTCTCTCGGCGCGTTGCTACGAAATCTCTCGCTCCAGTTAAAACTTGACGACGCTCGATGATCTCATTTTTGTATAGAGAAAGTCAGGCCTTGTAAAAATATTATTACGAAATTATGAAAACGAGACGATTAAAAACGATATCTGCTTTGATATTATGAAGATTTTCGTTTCGGCATTTGCTTTTTTAAAGCAAGTGGCTGAATTGTGATTATCATCTACACGACAGACTGATTATAAAACGAAATACACACACACACGCACACACACACACACACACACACACACACACACACATCGTTTTTTTACCTTAAAAGTGACACAGTTCAAAAAATTGAATTTTTCACAAAAAAGAGGGAAAATTATTTTTTAACATAACAGAAAATTATTGATTAATTAAATAATATAGATGAAAAGAATATACTTTTAAAAACATGATCAAATGTCATTTATGACATTTTTATTTCATGATCTTTAAAAAATTATTCTTTTTGAGTGACGATTTTAATGCTCAACAAAATTATAACAAATCCAGAATAATTCATCAAAGTAATATAACTCGAAATATCACCAGCAGTTTATGTTTATCTTGGTTAACTAAATTATCTTGATTAACTAAATTTAAAATAAAAATTAAAATAAAATAATTTCTTCTTCGATTACAAAAATTCTAAAATGTTTCTGTCAGAAGACGGTCCTTCTTATTTACAAAAATACAATACGATTTAATTTATTTAAAATATATTTTTGTAGAACATATTATCTCTTTGAAATTCTTAAGAATGACACAAGTGTTGTTTGACGGACAGACTGTGAAGTTAAGTTAGTTTACTTTTGATAATTGATAGATTAATCCTTACTTAACTTATTCATAGTGACAATTCAAAAATCATATTTTTTTGAGTTGTGTCACTTTTGAAGTAAGGGAATGATGTAAACTTTACAAATAATTGTATTTAAAGTAAGAATTATAGGAGAACATTTTCTGTTCTTAAGTAATGTATATAATCTTTTCTATGTAAAATACATGATATTAAAATTAGGAGCAAATGGCAACACAAGTACGACCGCACTAAAGTTCTCTTTTATTCCTTTAAAATCATTTTTAACATCGGTAAACGGCATTAGTAAAATATTCTTAACACTGCCGATCGTTCGTTCGATGAAGCATATGTAAGTCAAATCAAAAGAATTACTAGTCGCGCCTTTCCATTGCGTATTCCAAGAGTAACATTATAAAATTGCTCAAGCAAAGGTCACGTTGCCACTTTTATTCGCACAATCAGTCTGTCCTACGTTCACCCCAGTACATTTGTCAGCTTTTTCTCCCTCGGAGCTCAACATCGCGATTCCGCGTACGTAAGTAGGTTATTCTTATTCTCCCCACTTCGCAGTAGATACGAGATGACAAGAAGGGGATCCTCCTAAAGTACAAGAGATTAATCTCCATTCAAACTATGCAAACCTACCATCTCTGTGCTCCTTTTGACCGTGATAATCGCCCGTATGGTAATCTTCGACCCCATATGAAAAGGCATAATGGGGTTGAGCGACGTAATCTTCATGAGAACCGGCGTCGTCATTCCAACTGACTTCGTGTTCGGTGCCTGTCACAGGACCGAGAATGCATGTCCTTCCGGTTTTGCATCGATCAGAAGTAACGTCGAAAACATCGATATGAATAGAACGAGCTGAAACATGTTGATCTTGTTAATCAAATTGTATAATTCTGTGAATTGAACATATGAAGTTTATAATTTAGAAGACTTTAGAAGAATTTAGTAGACAAAATGTTAAAGCATATTAAGATTTAAATAATAAAAAGAAATTGTAACAAAGAAAGAATACAGCAACTTAGACAAAATCCTTAAAAGGATAAAATCTATAAAAGTACAAAGATTCAGTTGCGGTAATATGACGGGTTGTATTGATTAACAGAAAATAGGAAAGTAAGCGAATTATGTTAAACGGATAAGAGAAAACAGCTGAGTAAAGAATCCACAAATCTAATAAAATATAAGAGAGAAAATAAAAGTTAAATTAATTGTTAGAAAAATAAAAATATTAACTATATAAAATAAAAAAGATGACACAATTTTTTATTAAAGAAAATGAAGAATGTAAGATGTATTATATTTTTTCAATGTTTATATTAAAAATATTTAATAATTAAATTATTATTAGGAGTAAAAAATTAATTAAAATATATCGCTTATATTAAGCAGAATCTATTATTAAAATGCTTGCATTTATCTTATCATTTTATTTGCATTCATCTACCATTTTATATTTCACTTTCGGAATGTACATTTTATTATTCATGTTAAATACATTTCTTGGAAACAATTTAAAAAATAAATTATTTTCTTGCACTAGTATTTTTTTGTATTTTCTTTACAGACATAAATTCTTTAATTGTTTGTTTAATTATTTATATAACTCCTTGCTTAAAACTTTCAATTTCTGATTTTTGCTTAAAAAATCAATTTGATTAAAGAATTTTTTAATTAAGAAAAACATGAAAAATTAATGCTTTATATAACATATAATAAGAATGAAAGTAGATTTGTTGGTTCCAATCTTAGCTGTAATCATATCCCGAACATATCCACTTTCTATTGTACGAAGATCGAAATATGCTGACACATGCGACTTTAATGACTTTCTGCGAAGAAGTGCTAAAGTTGGCATGCGGTCTGAGGATAACACGTGAAATAATCGCGCGATATGCACTCACTTCGGAAGTCATGATGTCAATTACTGTCGCAGATCGTGTCTCCTTTCGTGCAAACGCTTGATTGATCCGTGTGATTGGCGATCGTTCCAAAAACTGCACGATTCACCCGGTGTCATTGTCCCTTTTATAGATCTGCACTTCAAGTTTCCTCTTTGCTTAATTCTTCTTTGGATCCATGCCCGAGAGTTCGGCTAAGCGCTCTCGCGGACGTTGCAAAACACAATTATTCAACCGGTCCGGCCGACGCAAAAAGTACCATGGTGCTCGCTGAAGCGCGCATCGGCCAATCCCGGACTAATGGAGCTCGCTCGTTGCGGAAGAAGAGCGAAAAAATGGATCGCCGGACTCGTTCGTTTCTTTTGCGCTGCGACACGCGCGTATCGATCAGGATGCTCGGCGATCGATGACATCGAACGCCCGTCACGCGCGACAACGCTCACGTCATGATGCTGGATTTTGTACCGGCACATCGAAAAACTACTCCCCACGGTCCATTTCTCTTAATGCGCGTCCTTCCTTACGCAAGTTCCCGTTTGATATACCCGGGGGCTCAATCGACGTAGATGGTGGAACAGTAGAAACGACGAGATGAAGAAATCCTGCAGATATCGCTTTCGCATCACGGAATAATTGAAGCATTATGCTTTCGTCAGTTTAACAGTACGTGTTATTCATTCAGCAATTGTATAGAGAAATATTAAGGAATAGAAGGAATTATAGAATACTATTTTGTTTTCTTGAAATAACTCAATAGATATTCATGTGACATAACTACTTTTAGTGCAGGTTTTTTAGGTAGAGTGATATCTATTATACTGTAGAGTAGAAGTTCTTTGTATGAATGTAATTTTTTAAAAACTGAAAGGAGAAAAGTATAACAGAAGAGATAAGAATACCACCAGTTAGTATATAGCACAACTTCATTCGCGGATACACAGTTTGTTACCAAGTTTTTGATTATATCATTTAAAAAAATCAAGGTCTCCAAGCTAGAATGAAGTTACAAAATTAATGCTTCTCAACGAACTTCTCAAAATTACATAAAGAGTACACATTTGTCTATTACTTATAAAACTGAAGTGCAACTTTTACGACAATGCAGTAAACACTAATGATTCATTGTCATGTTATAACTTTCAAGTACACAGTGAAGAAATTTGATTGCCCCCAAAATACATCAAACAATCGCAAGCTATATAAGATAGAGATCCTTAAGTGAGAGGTAGAACGAAATAGATTATGTATTCGTATATATATATATATATATATATATATATATATATATATAAATCTATTGTTTAATATTCTTTGATTATATTTTTATTTTTCTGTCGAAGCTTATTGAGTTCTTTTTAAGTTTGATTTGTAAAAACATTCAGTTGTGATTTATTAAATTGGTCCAGATGAATTTCATAAATTCTATTCAATATCAAATAAATCGATCTTTCCTGTGTCCGACATCGGAAAATTCCAACGCGATACTTTACGTCGTGCAAATAAAATAACAATATGTTGAAAAAATTTGCAGAACACTTGACACTACTGAGTGGTCCTTGCGTATATTAACAAAAAACGGAAGACTCCATTTGCTCTCTCGTGTACAGAGAGGGATAGTGCAGAACGGAAGGGTGTGTGAAACGAGAGAAAAATGGGGGAAAGGGGAGAGGTTGGTACGGGTGTAGGGACGACAAGAGGACAGATTCTGGCACACAATGTGCTGGAGCGGCGGAAGTGCTCGAAGAGGCGCTCAGGTTTTGAGTTATGACACTTTTTGAGTCGAGGAGTCGCATTGTGAATGGCGCATCCGGGTCCAGCGTAATATCCTACCTCGATCTCAGAGCCGGGTGGCGATAAATCTGCCTTAAATAAGATTTGCCGGCGACACTCCGGCGAAATAAAAGGAACGGAGGCGGCAGACGACGCAGGCTGCAGGATGCCAGCTTGTTACTTCTTCGACTTCAACCCGTTGACGTGCTCGCCAGTTCATACCAGAGTTAATGAGTAGCCTAGAGTATTCGTCTTCATCCTAATTGCGAGCGCGCTACAGCAACGGCAGCGACAACAGCAGTTTCTTCGCCCTCAATTTCTCGTTTACTGTTGATGACTCTTGCCGTATAAAGGAAATGACGAAGCACACCTTCGCCGAGACCTCTTTTTACGAACCTTCGCACTTGAAGTTTATTCGCCTTCGTCGAATAAATTATACAAATAAGCAAGTGATAATGCAAGCCGTACTAAGAACACGTCATCAAAATTGTAATAACTTTAATTGTAACAAATATTTTAATAATTTAAATTTTTAATAATTTAAATGTAAATTTTAATGTTTTTTTTTCGAAGTATTATTGACAATTAATATATATTTTTTATATATATTTTTAATACTTCATAATTAATGTTTATATCATAAATATTATTTATATTATAAATATATTGTAAATTTTTCTTAACAATAACCATTTTCAATAACCATTTTTTAATATCATGTGTTACAAATATTAAAAATATTAAATAAGCTTGCTATTAACATCGCATTTTATAAATTGTAACTTTATATCTTAATTATTATCTTTGTACACGGATAATTTGAACATGATGTCCCAATTATTATTATTTTATTATTCTTGTTATTTTATTATTATTGCATAAAAAAACATTACCGTATTAATCTTAATAGCAGATATTATGTCTCATATATATTCCGAGAATATACATTCTATGCGGCAATGTTCCATTTTTTATTACATTTATTTTGTGTTGACAAATTTTATAGTGGAAAAAATGTCAAGAGAAATTATGTTAAAGCGAATTCATTTGGCTAAAAAATACAATTTTCTTTTATCAAGCTTAGTTCACAAGAAGTCCCTCTTATTTTTAATAGCTAATTATTTTACCACAGCAGTATAGATCTTTTTCTTGAGAAGATTTTTCAGAAAAATTAATTTCAAATTGACCCAAGAGTCTTTAAAAAAATAGTATGATAGAAGAACAATTCTGTATATACAAGTAAGTCTATTATTCCCTTTCAGTCTGTTCATAACTAGAATATGTTACAGTAAATTAATTAAGAGTTCATTTCGAAGTAATTAATGCTCGTCGAGTGAAGAAATTCACGATTCTATCCAGCGCATAAAACGAGGAGTTATCATATCATGAGAATACCCGAATAAATGCTGCAGAACGAAAATGACGGCAATTTCTGCGATTGCAAATTATGTATATAGTTTCTCGAGTTTTATAGTCTCTTGAAATTATGAAGTTGCATTATGAAAGTGACGGCAATAAATCAGGCTCAAGATTAAATTGTAGGAAATATGATTTGTTGCTGACGTAAAATAGCGGGGAAACGCGTAAGAGAAATTCCAGTAGTTTACATCTGAATTTATGTTGACGTATGTGCTTTTTACACAATAATATGCATTAATTATTTACTTCGCATATTCATCCATTTTTGTTGCTCTAAAGGCAACGTCGCGGAAGAATTAGAGTTAGAAAGTTGAACTTAAGCTTTAATAAATTTAAATTATCTTTTCTTTATCATTCAACTAATATTTCTTTTAAAAATTTTAATATTTCTTTTAAAAATTATTTTTTTTAGCATAAAGTGACAATAAAAAAATATTTTAAAATATCATATCGGAATAAAAAATTAATAAAGTTAAATCAGGGAAAACAAAGACACACTTTGCTAATGAAATATTTAATTAATTAAGAAATAATTATAATTTATTACATAAAGCATCGCTATTAATTTATTTTCACGGGAAATGGGATTAAACGCTAACGACAATGATTGTTATTCTGTGCAAGGTGTATGAACGATGTAATTCGGCAATTCCATGACAACCACACGATTAGTAAAGTCTCGCCCACCAGCAGCCGCGAT